AAATAGACCCAGTTTAAGCTGCACACCCCCCCCCCCACCCCCCGACGCATTCGTCGTCAGGTACAACTCTTCACTTGCGACTGGACCAACGACGACATGATTCTCTACGATTACCAGCCGAAGCCTTGTCGAAGCAACTTTTGCAACTGTTGCTAGGCATGGTCTAGGAACGGCCCGAATGCCAACAGCCTGGTTTGAATGGTTTGAAGCTACATTTCATGCATGGGTAGCGAGCGCGAACTCCATGCGTCGGCGGGGCCCGCAGCGAGCCTCGAGACGGTGCGGGGAGAAATTGAGTCCCAATCTGTGAATCCAAAGCAGAGCGCCGTCATTCCAGAGTGGATCGGAGTCCGGCACCTGTCTTCTGGGAGGCAGAGAGAAACAAGCGCTCGCCGCCAGCATGCCTTGTGATTTTGCAGGAGTTGCCAGAGTCAAAGTCACATCATGTGTGCTATTGAAGAATCTCGGAAGCATCGCAGACGTGGCAAGACGTTCTTCTGAACATGACTCGATGCACAGCTCAAAGTCCGTATTTCTTGAAAGGAGCAAGTGCAGCTCAGATGAGGCTGAGGCCAGCATGCAGCCACGAGGGCGATCCCAATGAAAGAAGCTGCAGCGAAAGCCAGGGTGCACATTCGCATCCAGCGGAAGCAAACACTTGGAAAGACCATCTTGAAACGGGACATACTGTGTCACAATCTGCACTGACCAGTCTTTATCAGACGATCAACACCGTTTCCACCCTTCTCGCCATCGAATTGACCATTGCGACGGTGTTACCGCGACAATAAGACTCCTGCTGCAAAGCAAAAACACAAACCAACATTCAGCACCGGCATCCTCCGCTCGTAGAGCATGCAAAGAGGCAGCAGATGCTTTGTCGGCACCCAGGCACTTTGACTACCCTAAACAGGCGGCGTCCTTAGATGCTAGAGTCACGGCGCATCAACATGAAAAAAAAAACATTGAAGCATGTCAGGTACGACAACAGCGTGAGCACATCTGCATCCTCCAAGCTTCCAAGCATTCATCTTGTGGATGGAAACCCGACCCGCTCAGAACCCCGTTTCCCCAGCCTAGATGACGACTTTCTTGCTAAAAGAACCTCCCCACACTCCTAGCACGTGACATGGGCTCGGCCCTCCCTCCCCCCGACAAGAGAAAACAACTGTTGTGCCGTGATTACCGACGATCGCATGCAGATATCGTCCGGCTATGCGTGATCATTATGGTTCTCGTGGGCATCAAAACTCTGATTCAGGTTTTTTTGATCTTTGTTGGAATAAGAAGGAACCTTAGTTGTTGTGAAGGCCATGCATGTCATGACGATTCAAGGGCAATCTGGAGCCTTCGAATACTCCGAAATGTATGGATTAAGAAAATTATGTGAGCACCGCAAGTTTGTTGTGAACGTAAGCCAGGACCACGAGAACTGCGAGAACCATGCGCGTGCTGCTTAATTTGCAAAGGGGTCAATGCCACGAGTACTCAATCGGGTGGAACAAGATTTCAAACTTGTCTTATCACGTTGTGGTCAGAAAGTGCATAGCAGATGCAGAGAAGCTATACAAGACGTATCAATCACGGTAACGTTGCGAGCTAGCACTACGAACACTGGCATGACAGATCAGCTCAACCAAGCTCATACACGAGCATGCCTACACCTGAGCGAGGTGACACCATGATACAAGGATGATCGCGGGATCGAATCCATGAGCCTACAAAGCAGCCAGAATGCAAAGAAAATGCGAGTGTCACTGACGCGGAGAGGATTTCTGGAGGAGTTTCAGAGAGCACTGTGACGAACTGTCGACCTGCTGCAGTATTTCTACCAATGCTAACTCTACGAACTGCACTTCCACCACAGCGAATAGTGCCAACTCTTCGAAGTTGACATTCCGGTCTCGGGAAGTCCTTGATACTGACTGACAATAACTTCGCTAGTTTGTATTACTACTCGTGTAATATCTTACTTGAGAAGAGACCCACACAAGCTAGGGGAAGTGCGTGCAGGCGCGACTTGATCTTGTTGCAGCGAGGCATTGCACGCATGCGGGCCCCCCGCCACCCTCCCCACCCAGCTGAACTATTGCTAAACAAACTTGCCGTGAAGATGCTTGCGAAGGATCTTCGGGAGGGGGTGAAAGGACCCTCGCGCGTTTTCACCTGGCGGCCTACTGAAGTGATTTGGTAAACAACTCCTGCAAGCTCCACAGAGCGAGAAGCGTCCACAATACTACCTGTTGCTGCAAAGACGGGAACATCTGCATCCGACGTGCAGGCCCGACAAGTACAGACTGGGCCATCTCATCAAAATCGATGTTCGGTGAGTGCTGTCCCCGAAGTCCAACCCTGGCCTGGCAACCAGCCGAAGCTGCGCCGCCTTGCAGAGCCGCCTAAGTCCAAGATAGCCGAGGCCATGTCGAGCGATCCAAGCCTGGACATGGACTGAGTTTCCGGCGCATGATTTGCAGGTAGCGGAGGCCTTGCTCAAAAGACGCGAATGAACTTCACCTTCCCGGCGCTCCTACGGCCAAGGCCAAGGCGCCGTCCGAAGTGCACCATCTGCAGACCGCTACCCAGATTTGAACCGTCGACAAAATACGTCCCATTTACTCCGCTTGGCGAAGCGAGGCCGTAACGTTCAGCCATTTGCTGGCATGCCTATGAATAGCCTATAGCACACATCCCCATAACACTGAGTAGCAAGCTGCTCGATGAGCTTTGCCTGCAGTGAACCACTGGCCAACACATGCTTTTCTCGATCCTGGCCAATGCGGACATCGGAACATATCGGAACCCTGTCCAATTGACAAACCCGCTCTCGACCTAGGCCGAAGTGATGCCAAACCAGCATTCGCGATCATTGCACGAAATTGCCAGGCCCCTTCGGGGTGCATCATGCTGCATGATCGGCTGTGAAAGTCCGGCAATATGCCGCCCGAACACGGCCACGTCAGAAAATGCCAAAGGCAAGATGCTGCGATGTGAGGAACACGGCATTCAAGCCAAATTCGCCGAGCACCTCCTCAAACAACAATGCCGAAGGCCGCTGGGGCGAAGTAGTAGCTTCCTCCGCTTAGAGGCTGCTTGGCAAGTCAACACACATTCGGGAGGGCCTCGTCCTTCGGAACATTTTTCGAAAATGCATACTGAGGAGAATCTCCTCGGGGACTCTGTCGAGGCTGTTACAAATGATTATCCCATGCAGGCTCACTCAAGAGACTGTTGCAATGTTGCATAGCCACGGCCGAGTCTAGACTGATCGCTGCAGTGCAAAGACGATGTCTCCAGTTTGCAGTTTGGCAGCGCTTGCAGTAAGAAGTACAGCCGATGACGGGTGCAAGCCAACAATGCATGCAGCATGAGCACAAATTTCCAACATCGTCTGGCTTCTACAGCCAAAGGCCCTAAAGCAGACATCGTCGTGACAGCGCCTGGCTACAGCTCAAGCTTGGTCCTGGTCCTGTCCTTGCTCACTTCGCGAGTTTCGACAGTCAGGACGGGTGTCATTTTCTCAGCGTCGCAGCAAGGCACGACCGATTGTCGGCAGTGGTCTTTGAAAAGTTCAGTTGCTGTGACACTCTTGAGGTGCTCCTCCAGCCTGAAGCTCAAGTTGGCAACCGAGAGATGTTACACAGGGACTGATGCCTTGCTGGCCCAAGTTTCGACAAGCTTCGTGAGCTCGCACGCAAGAAGTGAACTTTGCAAACTCATGCAGACGGTGATCTACCACAAAATTCTTCGACCGGCTGCAGCCCAGATGCGGCTGGCTCTTGTGCATGGTTGTCTCCAGCAATGCAGCGATGGCCTTTCACGAAACAGGAGCCTTTTCTGCGAAGCCCCGCCCACGGTGAACCCCGAGCCTCATGGCTACAGCAAAGGTCCCCAAGCCAGGCTCCAGCGGGCTGGGCCTGTGTCACGGAAGCGGGAAGCCATTCCGACTCCCGGAAGGCTGGCCATCTGCCAACCGACAAGTCTAGCCAATCACGGCATTTCATTAGCCCTTCAGAAGACATGTGCAAGCGCGTCTAATTACGATGTACTGCCATTGCTACCAGCATTTGAACGATACCACCAACATCCCTCACCACATCCACTTCCTCAGTTGTGAGATTCTGCGCCAGGAGGCCAGGCCTCACACTCGTGGCGCACAAAGGCTGCTGCATAGCCACGGACCAGGCGCCGGCCCACCTCGCGAGGAACAACTCCAAGAAGCGGCGCCGCAAGGCTTTAAGGCTTTGCCTACTGACCTGCCTTGCTGCAAGTGGCGATGGCGGATCTGAACATGTCGGTGTCCACGAGCATCAACTGCGAGTGCAGGTTCTTGACAAGTGGCGATGTTCGGCGCATTCGATTGTCATGCAGGGAGCAGAAACTAGCAAATGTCAGTACTGGAGGAATAGCTGCCAGGAAATCCCCGAAGATCCTCGAGCAGTGTTCACCATGCTGTTGCAGCGCTTAGTGCGCATCTGTGTGCATCTTTCATGCTGCAGCTTGCTTTTCGTCTAGTGCACCACTCTTCGTGCTGTCGTTTTGTGTGGTGTCTATGGCACTGTGTGCGTTGCATTTTGCATGTCCGGACACCATCGATCCACGCGAGTCACAAAGCCCGAAACCAGAAAAACAAGAAAGTGCACCATCAAGACACCATCAATGCTGAGCTCAGAGGCATCACTCTGGCACTTTGCCGCCAATGTGCCACAGTGCCTGATGCCAGACTGATCTCGAAAGCGCATGTGGCTCTGTCTCTGCATCTTGACACCGACCTGACATGCTGTCTTAGTCTAGCCTCCACGACACCCACAGTGCCACTTCACTGAGCCAGTCGCCTCGGCTTATCAGAAAGCATTAGCTGCAGTACCGCCGGCAGCCGGCCAGCAGCAGACTTAGCCTGCGGCTTGTCTGAATGGGTATCGGGTCCATCAACGCCGATCTCCAATACTCGAGTTCTCCGCCGGTCACAAAGTACATGCCTGTTGCCTCCATGAAAGATACAAGGTCTCGCACTGTGACGACATGCGCAACGCAGGACGGCTGCTTATGGGACCGCGGCAAGGGCAAGCCACAGAATTCAGATGGCTTTTGGAAGTTTGAGGCAACAGTTGGCCCGACACCTGCTCTCCCTTGATGAAGATGGTGTGCTCTGTGCTGACCCTGAATCAGCTTGAATATAATGCTCCAGCACTCGGCAATTGAGTCTGGCTAATCCAGCCTGATCTCCGACACCGCTTGGTGACAGAGCCTGTCCAACGTCCGCCCATCGGCCTGCATCCGAGACGAAGTTGCAACTCAAAGTGTGGAGAAGCGATGTGAGACAGAATGCATGCGCTGTACCAGGCACAGGGACACCCTCCAAACGCCGGAGACTCCCTTATTGAATTCCGCAACAACCCGTCGGACGTGCGAAACTCGTTAGAGGGGTCATGCGGCTGTGTGCGCAAAAACTGCGCCTCGCAGAACTCGAGGAAGAACGGATGACGGCAGAGAACAGGGCGGTAGACTGCCTGAAGGAGAGTGAATTGCGCAGAACTTGAAGATTCATGAGCAGCCTCTTGTCTACTAGTTGCTAGTGGAAACGAGCATCGCCTCGCGCAACTTGAACTTCAAGCGCTCCGGCACTTCGGCCAGAGGTTCGACATCCTCTTCCTGCACAAAGTACTGAAAGTACTCATTCGCACGAAGCCGCTTTCCACGAGCTCAGCTCCAAGCATGAACGCGCACTCGATGATTCTTTCGATGGCCTCAAACGCCAGCTGAACTGACACGGCTGAGCTGAGCGATAAAAAAAGGGAACTTGCTCACGCCGAGTTTGGGCCCCCGGCTGCTTATCCAGTCATAGATGCACTTGCTCACTTCCGGGGGCACCCTGCAGGAGACTGAGCAGTGTAGCGGGAGTGAGCGCTGAGCAGAGCAGTGACCAGCGGGCAGGTATGTCGGCATGCAGGATCATTCAGGGCTATCTCTATGCTGAGTCGCTGACTCATTTTGGGAGAAGTACTGGCGAAGAGACGCCTGCTGTTTCTGCTTCTCGCCTCAACAATACCAAAGCTCAGCAAGCACCGATCTTTCGCCCAAAGGCTTTACTCCCCATCGCAAATCTGGCAAGCATGTCGGCAAGGTAGCCTGTCTCATCGTCTCACACTGATTTCGGTAGCAGAACTCTTCGTGTGGGTGACGAGAGACAAAAAGCTCACATCCCAGGCATTCCGCACACACTTCCGCGGAGCGAGGCCGTCATAAGCAGTCAAGCGAGAACCCGGCTGTTGAGATTTCGGAGCTGCGTCATCTGACAGGTAGAATGTCATTTAAAGACTGAGCCCTAGTGACAATCACGCACACACATGCAACAGCAGCGCTCCAAGGCCCCACACCGAGGACGTGATGTTGGAGACGAAGGAGGAGAACGAGATCAAGCCACAAATGATCTGAGATTGGGCCACGGAATGCTACGGAGCAACGATCAATGCAAATAATGCATCTGCATTCTGCTTTTTCGGTTCTGTTGCCCGACTTGCTTGAACACTTTGCCTTAAAGCACATCGCAGAATCCAAGTGACGGTACACATGACATGTTTGAGTTCATGGTGGGCTTTAAGAGTTGCACTTGAATTTCGCGGGCTTCCATGTTGGTTCATACTGCACATACAGCACTCGTAAATCATCGGTGCTGCACAACACTTCGCGCTGACCAGACTGCGACGACTTGCCGTTGCAAAAGACTGCATCTGCTTGTGACGGCGGGGATTAGCCTTGCAGAGTTTGAAGAACTGCGCTCATACTGCATCGGAACACTACACAGCAACGCATCGTCTCGTTTCCAACACTTGACACGACCCTAGGATTCTGCGCTGTGGCCTCTCAACATCTCAAAATGATCAAAAAAGGACATCGCAGACTTGCGGGGCAGCCGCTAAGCTTTCCACGATCGACTAAACCATGACACACGGCCAGTTTAGGAAAATGTCAAAGCCTTGAAACGGCGGGATTTCGAAATTACGCCCGGGCTTCGACATGTGAGAAGGCCAAAATGACGGGAGCACAATGGCCGGCCAAAAGCACCGCGGCACTGTTACAGGAGCGACCAGTATATTGGATTTTGCAATGAATTCGGCGCCCCCGGCAGATGCGGCCACCACGGGACCGTGGAATGAATGCGATGTCTGTCGTTGCTGCTATGCTTGACTAGTTCTGACGTTCCTTGACTGAGCATGATCTTATACGACTGTAACTCAGTATGTACTATGATACATGGTCATATAACATCTCATGATTTCATTTGGCTTGCAAAAAAAGCATAAACACGACAACAGATTGTAACAGTTGTAACACATCTCTGCGAGAGGACAGCACCATATCTCCGGCACAAAGGGATTACCGGCCTTGAATGGTCTGAGTTCGATTGGTCGTTCAAACTTGCAAGTATAACCCTGAGCAGCTGCTGGTATTGCTTCTTAGTGATTCCAGCCCGCGAGATCGGTACATCACAGGACGAAGGGAGCAGCGAAGACCGGGAGACCCCAGCACAGCAGGCGGCCTCTGGCGTAAAGCAACAAGCGCTGTTCGGGACATGGCAAGCAAAAGGATAGACGAATCTGAAAGCCGGCAGCCGATAGCAAAGACAGCAACTAAAAGGCCAGCAGAAAGCAGAAAACATCGTGTACGAACCAGGGTTCGGAAATCACAGCAAATCATGGCAGGCCAAGACCACTAATATTAAAAACTGAATGACAGATCCATCCGTTACGCAAATCGAAGCGCTCAGAGCTTCCGGGAAGAGGGGACAAACATGGACAAACATCCGGCGTTTCCCAGCAAAGCCTCTTCTATTGCGATCATTCAGATCAGAAGTATCTCAAGCATATTCATGATTCGGTTCTCTCCACGCAACACTTTCAATGTTACCTATATCTAGGGCACGTCCTTGCAGAGTGCGCTCAATGTCACTTTGTGTCGAATGGACTGTCGTAGGGACCGCACCGTGCAAACGGTGTAGATACGCTCCGAAGTGTTAACAGCATTCACCTGACAAGAAGACGAATTGGCCCACTGTCGACATGCGCCGAGTTGAAGTCAAGAGTCATAAGTTTGACCCCAGACTCGTCTATGCAACTCTGCCAGAGTTGAAACTGCAGGTGCCATCGGACCCTTTATCCGGCCATCCGGCCTCGGGGCAGAAGAGCGATGAGAACGCTGATCCCAGAGTCAGAGTGGCTCAAAGAAGCGCTGCTAAGGAAGCCTCTGACCCGTAGCTACAAGTATATATATACGGGTATCAGTGCCACTTGCATCCGCAAACCCGGCCTCGATCGAAGCCGGAGTGAACTGACACAACCTCGAAGGTGCATTCGTGTAGGCGCACGTAGCTGGTACTCAGCTCGTCTGAGATGGGAGTTCCAGTGCGTCCACCGTACAAAACAAGATCATCGACCACATGGTTGTACTTCTCTCACCTCAAAGGTGTGCGTAAGGGTGCAACGCCCAATGGAGCGACCTAAGGTGGAACATGCAAGCACAGCACAAAGTCCAACTTGAGAGCACAGGTCGTGGACTGTAGAGATCCTAAGCCGTCTCCGGTTGCCGCTGATTTTAGCTGGCAGGAGTAACTTCCATATACATGTGGCAGTGTTACCGTGTGTACAATGCTGCTTTCAATTGAACCGAACTATGTGTTTTGCAGTATTTGCAGTTTCCTCAAAACTCCAAGTGGTGGGCTGTAGTCCAAATCACAAGTTTCTGACATAAAAGTCATCCGTGTGCAGCAATTCTAGACCCAAGGTCAAAATGAGTCAAGCAGTTGTTGCCAAGCGGGGCGAAGAGTGCACCTTTTACATTCCAGCGGCAGGCTGGCCGACTTCCTTGTCCATAGCTCCTTCCTGTAGAGCAGGAGCAGGAGCAGGAGCGGCAGCAGTAGCAGTAGCAGGAGCAGCAGCAGTAGCAGCAGTAGCAGTAGTAGCAGTAGCAGCAGCAGTAGTAGCAGTCTGCGGTAGCAGTAGCAGTAGCAGTAGCAATGCAGTAGCAGTGGCAGTAGCAGTAGCAGAACCAGTTGCAGCAGCAGTAGCCGTAGCAGGTGGTGGTGGTAGCAGTAGTAGTAGTAGCAGTAGTAGCAGTAGTAGCAGTAGTAGCAGTAGTAGCAGTAGTAGTAGTAGTAGTAGCAGCAGCAGCAGCAGTACTAGCAGTAGTAGCAGTAGTAGCAGTAATAGCAGTAGTAGCAGTAGTAGCAGTAGTAGTAGCAGTAGTAGTAGTAGTAGTAGTAGCAGCAGCAGGAGTACAGTAGTAGTAGTAGTAGTAGTAGTAGCAGCAGCAGCAGCAGCAG